GCTTGCCTCAAATATTTTTGGAACGGGTTTGTTGAGGATAACTCTTCGCGCAAAAAAAATGCACATTAGATTTCCGATTTTTAAATGAAGTCTTCACAGCACGTGTCTTGTTAAACAAGAAAAGAAAAGGAAAAAAGATACAAAAAAAAACAATAACAACCACATCAACATTGACAATATTGCAACTATTGCAACTATTGCAACTATTACAACTATTGCAACTATTGCGACTATTGCAACTATTGTAACAATTGCAACTATTGCAACTATTGCAACTATTGCAACTATTGTAACTATTGCAACAAAAGCAACTATCGCAACTATTGCAACTATTGCAACTATTGAGGAGTTTGTCAACCCCGACACGAAATGAGGAGAAGCGAAAGAGCGATAAGACCGCCGTCTTATTTTGGTTTTCGTGATCACTCGGAAGAAAATCCAATTGAGGACTCCGTTTCTGCGTCGCAGAGAGTTAGTGACGATGAACAAGAGGATTCATACAACGAAACCGAAGACAAAATAGAAAATGAAGAACAACATACTGGGGCGACTCAACAGCTTCGTGTTATGACCCTCAGTCAGCAAGACCATTATCCTGTCGTACCCATTACAGAAAACGTCACAAACTGTTTGTTTGACGCCTTTGGAGGGTCTCTCGACATATCTAAGGAAGTTCAAGAAACTGAATTGGGGAACAGATGGACTGTGAGTGTGAACATCCAAGGCAAACTATAATTAGTCCCGTGGGGAAGCATTGGCCGTAAATACGTTGATCTTTTAACGAAAGAAGTCTGCCGATTGAACCAAAACGAATGTTCAAAACGACTTCTTGTATTCAGCCGATTAAATTTACAGCGGGAACCAATGATAAAAACCACACGTGATGTGAGAGCGTTGATAGAAAGACGATTTGAAGACTGGGAAAAAAGTAAGTTCAATATTCTACTACAAGAAGCCAAGCGATGTTCACAAAAACTACCGAGGAAACCTATGAAAAAAAAACATATCTTAAGACGAGCACACCGCAGTGGTTTTTGCACGAATGATGATGGAAGGGAAAGTTCGGTCTGCCATGCGTTGGCTGACAAGCTGATCTGGCGGAGGTTTGCTCCATCCAAATGACGAAGTTATTGATTCCACAACAAAAACAAGAAAATTAGTCATTGACATTCTGAAAGAAAAACATCCCGTAGCAAAACAGTCAAAAGAAGAAGCAAGAATACAAGTAGAGAGCTTACCTGAGTTAGAAACAGTAACCATCGCTTCTTCTTATATAGAAAAATTTGCGAGGTCAATGCACGGTGGAGCCGGACCTTCAGGAACAGTTTCGGAACACTGGAAAGACGCATTTCTTTGATTTGGAAGACACAGTTCGGCTTTGAGAGACGAAGTGGCAGCGCTGATCACAAAGATAGCTAACGAAATTATTCCATGGAACCAAATACGAGCATTGATGTCAGGTCGTCTGATCGCTTTGGACAAGTGCCCCGGAGTTAGACCCATTGTCATAGTTGATTGTTTGCGAAGAATAATGTGTAAATGTATGGCCGAAGCGACCAAACTTGTGGATCTCAACAACTAGCTTCTGGTGTGAAAGCAGGAATAGAAGGAGCTGTACACGCAGTGGAGGAGTTGTTTAATAGCACCAAAGAGGACGGACATGGTCTTCTACTGATGGATGCCTCAAATGCATTCAATGCATTGAACAGGGAAACGGCTCTATGGAATGCTAGAATACTTTGGCCAAGGTACTCACGATTTCTTTTCAACACTCATAGAGGGTATGCGCCGCTAATTGTTGCAGGAACGACAGAACTTCTTTTCAGTAGTGAAGGCACTACACAGGGTGATCCACTAGCGATGTTATTCTATGGTGTTTCATTGATGCCCTTGATTGAATCACTCAAAGACCGAGACTTGAATTTATAAACATGGTATGCAGATAATTCGGGAGCTCTCGGCGCACTAGAAAACCTGGTTGAATGGTTGTCATCTTTGACTGAAAACGGCCCGAAGTATGGCTATTACCCCGAGCCAAGCAAAAGTTATTTGGTTGTTCACCTGAACTTTGTTGAAAAAGCTCATCAATTGTTTGACAGGTTTGGCATCAGAATAGTTGAATGTAGAAGATATTTGGGCGGATTTATTGGCTCTGATGAAGGCAAAATTCTCTTCACTTTAAAAAAGGTCCAAGAATGGTTGGATTGTCTTGGCGAGTTGTCCAAAGTGGTAGAAAAAGAACCTCAAGCCGCTTTAGTTGGATTAACAAGATCACTGCAATGCGAATGGAACTTTGTCCAGAGAGTAGTCAAAGATACGTCGCAGTTGTTTGCTCCTCTCGAGAAGATGTTGGAGGAAAACTTTTTGCCAAGCTTTCTAGGAACTTCTAGTGTCACACACGCAGATCGTGTTTTGTATTCACTTCCTGTCAAAAGAGGGAGACTAGGTGTGCGAAATCCAATAGAAGGTGCCGAACTAGCATTTTCACTTCACGTGAAGCAACCGACTGTCTCGTGAGTTCGATCCTTCTCCAAGATGATTTCGACCAAACTCTACACAAAACAAAGATGAGAGAAGCAAGAAAAAACCACGAGGAGAAACAAAATGCTGTGGACAAAGATAAACTCGATGAATTGCTTGCAGTTTTACCAGCAGATCAGAAGCGAGCGATCCGGAGAACAATCGACAACAACTGTTCCTTGTGGCTAACTTCGCTGCCCTTGTTGAAAGATAATTTTGATTTGTCAGCCACAGAGTTCAGAGACTCTCTATGTGTCAGGTACGTTCTTTCTCGAGATGCGATGGATTTCAACAAGCTTTTGACTTACAGCATGCACTTTCTTGCAAGAAGGGCGGACTGGTAACACTACGACACAACGAAATAAGAGACGCAGTGGGTGATCTTGCTTCAATTTTGTGGAAGGATGTGAAAAAAGAACCTGTCGTAAAAGAACCAGATGTAGAAAATGGAACCCCGGCACTAATTGCAGATCTTTCACATCGTGGGGTTTCGGATAGACAGTCGGCTGCGTCGTTCGACATCCGTGTTACAGACACTGACGCTCCGTCTTACCAAAACCGCAATCCCATGAATGTACTGAAAACTGCAGAGATTGAGAAGAAAAATAAGTATGGACCAGCTTGTGAAGAAAAGCACTCAACTTGTCACTTCAATAGATGGTGTTTTGGCACCGGAGTTCACGTTTTTCCTCAAACGACTAGCAGATGGCCTGGCATCAAAATGGGACCGCCCATATAGTCATGTCATGTGCTGGGTGAGATGTAGAATTTCATTCGCTATACTAAGAGCAACCAACATTTGCATCAGAGGCACAAGATCCAAATGGCGATCCCTCGGCGTTGAGGACGGTTACACAATTGGAATGGCATTCTAAATATTCACACGCTGTTAACTGGGGCTTTCATCGCGCATAACTGACTCCTATGATATTAAAATTTCGACACCATTTGCATAATATTTCGAAGAATATGAGATGTTTGAAGATGAAAATACAGGATGACAACTGTCAACAAGCAGCGAAAAACTTTCCTTGCACCATTCGAAACCAATTTATTTTGATTTTAAAAATAGTTTATCAACCTACAACAGTTTGTCATGTGCTATATCTTGATGAGTCTTCACAGCACGAATAATTTAATTCAGAGCATGGCAAAATTAGGAGTTTTCGACCACCAGAAATTTACAAAAAAGATTGGAGGCAAAATATTTTTGTTTGAAAGCAGGCATTGTTGTGTAAAAATTGTTGAAATCTTGATGTTTACCTCAAAAAAGACCAGAAATTGTAAGCCACTCGATATAAAAACGTGGGTCTTAATTATCCCAAATTGGCCAAATCAGCTTTTCAAATCCCCATTTGCTAGCAAAAAATTAAAGCTGAGCTCAGAGCATCAATTTTTTTCAGATGGTAGAAAAAATACTCTGAAAACAAAATTATTTCAACTGCGAGATTTGAAAAAAAGCTCAAAGTGAGCATTCTTTTTTCTTCTCCGAAAATTTGAACAATGCAAACTTCAATTTAGATAGATTACATATACTAGAAAAAATTAATAAATGATGAGAAAGAACTTTTCTTGAAGTCATAAAGTGGAAAATTTTTGACCAGCTTCAAAGCTGTCGTTACACAACTGTATCTCGGTAAAAAATAATGTTAAGCTGGCTCACCATTTAGCAAACTGAATCATACGTTGAAAAGTTGTTTAAATAACAGAACAAATTGATAATGATAGTCAATCAAGGTTTCATGTTTTTTTGTCAAAAGGGAAGGGGGCCATAATCAATATTAGTTGTTCATAATGGCTTTTTAAATATTTAAAGAGCAATGATACTGAAACGATGATAGAAAAGAATACTAACTCTCTGAACTGAGTGAGAATCTGGTTCACATTTAAACCAAAAAGACTGAGTTTTTGTACAAAAACAATTTTCATTCGTTTGAAAGCAATAACTAAAATCAAACTACAAAATTTCGCCACTAAAATACTTAGAGAAAAGTTTAAAAATAAAAAGGGACAAAAGAGGAGTCAGTGACGTTAACGGTGTTTTGCAGTTTGTTGCTATCAGACGGATAGATTAAAAGAGAATCAGAGAATCCAACAAGGTTCCGGATCGAACTTAAGACGCGACATGGGTCAAACAAGGTCAAATGTGTTAAACCTCAGGAATTTGACTCCTCATCACCCAAAGGGCCCCTTTTGGTTTTACTTTAAGACACTCATTTTTAAACAACGGGCACTAAAAGTTTTCTAAAAATGTCTTTGGCGCCAATATCTACTAATTTTGATCATAATAAATGCAATTTTTGATCAAAATTGTCCGAAAAATAACTGAAAAGATCGCTGTGGCCTGAAAAGGAACTAAAATTTTTTTTTAAACAGGCTATTTGTAGCTCGAAAAATTATTATGGTTGGCCTCAAACAGATAGTCAAAAACATCCAACAATTTTTGGAAACCTGCCCCTTGGAAATTTTTTTACGCCAACCTGTAAACGGACTTCTTTTGGCAGCTTCGGTTGCGATATTAGTGGAACTTTTCAGCTACAGCTTCAGGAGACGATACCTGAACAAAAAATTTCATTGAAACACGATAAAAAGACCTATAAATATGGGGAAATATAGGCTATAATTTTACATGAGATAATGCAATTTGAATAATTAGATACAATCCAATTCTGCGCATAATTAGGTTGCGCTAAAGGTTTTCAAAATTTAACCAAGGAAGCTTGTTTTTGTTTTCAGTCGGCTTCGCTCAGAGTAAAGGTGGACTTTGTTTGGAACGAATTAAGCGCTCGGTTCAAACCAAGCGGCAACTGGTTTATATTTACCATACCTGTATCCATTATCGCTGTTTTAGGTAAATAAATAGGATTTTAAGGGGAAACAAATGAGAATAGAAAGTACTAAAAGTTAACTGGAAAGAGACCAGTTATGGCATAACCGGTGGTCAGTCCAGACTTAGAAGTGCGAGGTGCGAATATCTAGGAGGGGATTAGGGCACCGACATGTTGTCAACAGGTAGATTCCGACCCAGAATCCAAATAGTCAGAATGGAATGAGAGTTGTTGTATTTGGGTTTTATATGATATATTTTGTTAAGCCACACAGGCCCCGAGATCGGAATTCTAAATGGACAGTTCACATAATTATTTTTTAAATGTTTTTTTCTTGATCAGACCAAGACTGTTGCTCTCACTCATCACATTGTGCTCCAGAAGTTTGACAAAACTGGCTCAAAAAGTAGGTAGAGAAATCAAATTCCTCAAGTTTATCCAAAAGTTAAAATTTAAACGCTTCCAGATTGAATGGGTTTCAAGTTTAAAAAATCATGGCCACTATCGACTTACTATAAAGCATTTCACACACGTTGAAGTCATAGACGCATTCGAAGTGAAATGACAGATTTAAAATAGTGTGGAACTACTATTGTCTTTCAATCAATAACGAAATTACGAGTGTATCAATGCCGAAAAGGAAACATCAAACACAAACTCTAATTCAGTCTGGCCGGGCAAGGCAGGCTGGCACAGAGTCAGAACAAGTAGGTTGTATGGCAACTCCATGGGTGCAAAAAACCATGCAATATAACTCTTAGATGATTCAAAGACCTCCAATTTTGCTTATACCAAAATTATAGTCTGGTTCTATATTTTGATTTGATTTGATCTCGATTGCTCGATTACCTTCCATGGCCATGATAGTGTATGAGAACTAGCCCACATATGCACTCTGCGATCAGGTTTATCACACCCTGAGCAATTTCGGCAGCAATCGTGGTACCACCTGTTTTAATTTGTTAAAAAGTTATAGTCCTAAGAGGCTAACTTAACTACGTTAGGAAGTATAACAATTAGGAAGGAACTAAGAACTCTTCTCATAAAATGAACACAAGCATGTTCGCGCTGAGTGAATTGAAGTCTGGGCTTGACTTTTCAAAAGTGCTTCAAAATTGAATGAATTAAGGTCTAGGCTTGGACAACTCGAATATTTTATGCTGGATTCCGTTGTTTCGGATAAAATTCCATATAAACTGAAATTTGAGGTGTCGGAGAGGAGACCGTTTCCTTTATTTCAGCAACTAATAGTTTTTGTGTCCTTGGTGATGTTTTTCTGTACTGAATCTGAGTCACAGACTGAGTTCAGAATCACCAAAATTGAGGCCGGAGGAATCTCACTCTTTAACGATTGTAATGTTTTTCTAATGGAGTGCAGTTTTATTCTCGATTGAATCGTACTTCTTAGATTCCAAAAAATTTCAGAAGGTTTGGGTATGTCTGTTGATTTAATGAGCAGCTTTGTTTTGACCAAGTTTTCGAGGTTTTAAGCAAATCTGTTGGATTGATGATATCCGAGCGCGCAAAAATTAGTTTTGATGTATTTCAGGTTGCCGAATGTTTTAAAAACGTGTTTTCTAAACTAAGATGCTTGATTTACTCTAGAAAATTTCGGAATTATGTGAGTATAAAAAGAATCTTAACTGGATCCTATCTGGACGCAATTGGGACGATCCGTTTATTGTGAATTTATACAAGTCCACTGAATGTTTTAAAGTCTTTGTAAGACTGATGGAAGTTATTGCCAAACCTAGAGTGTAAATCTCCGTTCTCCTTAGAAACTTTTACCAGTGGCTTACGAAATTTCACTAAAGCAAGAAATTTGATACTAAAAAAGAAAAAACTCTAAGGAGTTTCCGGTAATTTTACATAATCTCTACTTTCTTTGCCAAGAAAATGTGCTTTGTCTGTGGAATTTTGAGCTCAGAGGAGACGTGATTGCCTGAAGGACTCAGAGTAACTACAATTTGATTAATCACATTTATACTATTCACAGTATTTATGTTCAATGGAACTAAAAAAATGCATAATTGATATTTAACGAAAATAAAAAAAACTTAAGAAAATTAATTTTTGACAGTCGATATCTGAAAATCTACAAGAATGCAACTTTCAAAATTTGTAACGTGTAGATTTTAATCAAAAATTTTTAGGTTCTCCCTTTTTAACTCTGAGCAACTTAACAACCTACAATTTCACTCCCTACTTTTTGTTGCCTTAGCACTTTAACATCGCTAGATTTTAAAACAATTTCTATGACTTAACACCGTTTTAATTCAAAATGAAAAGAAAACTTACTTCAAAGGGGGTTTCGGTAGCCATCAAAGAATTCAAAGAGTGAAACTTTTGCCATTTAAGGCCAGACAAATTCGCGCTAATAAATTCGCGTAAGTTTTGAACAGAAATGACCTTGCAAGTGATTTCATTGAAACCTTTCAAAGCAAAATGAAATAGCCATGCCAATATTTTCAATGAATCATTCCAAAATGAACCGAAAACCAGCAATAGTTCAATGAACTTCAAAAGCCCGCAAATAATTAGACGTCCTTTGACTAATATGACCTAATTTTCTAGACATTTTCAGCCGGTGTAGAAATTTTAAAAAGAGTTAACCAATGCCAAAAGCCTAAAAATCATTATTTGTTAGAATCATTCTCGAACTTAAACTTATGACCTGATCGCTTTTTCAGCTTTTTTTGAAGTAAGCGGACATTTTTTTCCAGAACTCTCAGCATTTCGGGGTCGCCGCACAAAATGATTCGCTCATGAAAATTGGATCTACTGTCATACCGGATAAAATTTTCAAAAATTTCAGGGATCTCGAAATTTCGCGCAACGCGGATGGGCGGCTTATTTACATCTACCTGCTTACGAGTGCGCGCAGCCGTTTGGATCAGTTTGTCTTTACTTGGGGGGCAAACTGAGTGGCAAATTTGTTTGTAATTGGCAAAACCGCACTGGAAACTGCAACAGCCGGGGTAAATCTCCCGCTGACATCTTTTACTTGCTTTATGACATTTCGGGCCTCCGATTTTCCCGCTGAAATGTCGTAGTTATGCTCTCCACGCGTCTCGATTAATTCGTTATTTTTAGTATTGGCACTTGCTCGACATTTATGTGTTTGATATTTTGAGCAAAACCAGTTTTCTGCAAATTTACTTTTTCGCTTGAAATAAAATTCATCGCCGGACGCTTTAAGAATTGGCTTGTTTTTAGAAGAAACTGCGAACTCGAAAGAAGACTCACTCATAATGTGTTTATTGTGTTTGCGTTTGTTTATTACTTGAGTAAAGTATAAAGTGACTGTCAGAATTTAATTTTTGTCAGAATTTTTACGTCAAATTGTTAAGAATTAGCACAGGCAGATTTTTTTAGTAATCATAATGGTTTAGCGAAAAGTGTAATTGAAATTAAATCACAAACTTGTAGATAAGAGTTTCAAGTAAATTAGGAAGCCTCCTTTTAGCATGTATAACTAAGATAAACCAAGTTTTTCATTATGGTGCGTGTGTTAATTGCAGGATTAACTTTGGTGTGATAAGAGTTGAGATACGGAGTTCATACAGCATTAATTTTTTAGTGAAATGACTATGTGTTAAAATGTACTGTGTTAAACTGGGAAATAGGAGTTGTATTGTTGTCGATTTAAAATGTTTTAGGTGTGAAATTACTAAGTGTTAAAATGTACGGCGTTAGTTTGTATGTCATTAAATTGTAGGACACCTATTTTTGGGGTTAAACTTATACTCTGACAAAGAGAACCAATATAAGCTTGTCAGTGATATTATGTCATTGCATAATTCCAAACTGTGGCCCATAAGGTTCTTTCTACCAACAATACAACTTTTTTTATCCGCTGGACTTGAGATAAAGTTTTTGATCTTTCTCACTGTTGCGACTTCGACCTCTTTGTGATAGAGGACTAAGGATAGTTCTTGTAATGTTCATGGGCAGGTTCCGTGCTAAAGTGATTTGTGGTCCGCTATCAACTCTAATTCCGACCCGTAAAAAATTTCTTGTTGAGTTTAACGGCCCATGGTACTAGCAAAAACTTCAAGTTTGTTTGTCGATTATTTCGCTTTATTTGTTTTCAAAAACCTGCATGCGAACGCAATAGTGTGAAAAAGCGCCTATCGCACTGCGCGAAGCATTTTTTGACCCGATTTCAAGTTGACAATGAAATGTGCTATTCATTTTAAATGACTATTTTTGACTTGATTTTTTTTCAAATGGGATACATTTTCAATGGGAGATTTTCAATTAAATTAAAACTTAATTTAGACTTCAATAGGGGGTTTTCAAATGATGCTAGGTTTCGTAAATCATTTAAAAATTGGTTAATTGATCTGAAAATTGAGTTTTTTAATCTTAAGAAGGATTTGTAGGCCTGGGTCAGTAATCTAAAAACCTAACTATTTGACTGCAAATTTCTGTTGATCTAGGGAGGATAAAAATTGATTGACTCTGTGTCTTTATGTTCTGTCTTTAAATTGATTGGCTCTATGTCTTTATCTTCTGTCTTTATCTTCTATGTCTTTTGTAAAAAATGAATAATCTAACGGAGGAATCCATGACTCGTTGAAAGTTAATGAGCATATCACTTAATCCGTGAATCCTGTTAAAAACCTGTAATTACCGGTGGTATTGCCACGAACTTTACTGAAACTAGACTGCTGACTTGTCGAAATATCTACGTCTAACTAGCTGTATGTATTTGTTAGATCCCAATTTGTGAACCATGCTTTTGCTTAGGAGATTTTTGAATTTTTGTTTCAACTTTGCTTACCATTTTACTAAATTTGGTCATGTATTAATTTTTATTGTGGATTTTTGTGACAGTAATTCTAGAAAAAAGCTGACTTTCATGATTCGTATTTTTTCATCTTATTACAAAACGAATTGATTTTGTATTAAAGTTGCGAATTCTTGCCAGGTTCTTTAAATATTAATTGAACAATTTTGTTTTTTACAGCACGTAGTAATTGTAGTAGAACTTTTCTCCCATTCAATTGTATTGGTCTTAGTCAGCTGTGAAGGAGAAAAATCTTTGACTAAAATTTTAATTTTTCCGGTAATTTAATTCAATCGTTTTTTATCTCGTTTATTTATAT